TGTATGAATTTTATTACTTTTTCTTACCACACTTCTTCACTATTAGTGCTTTATATAGGCAAACAATAATTATAAAATAATCTAATGAACCGACATATATAAGTCGGTTTATACAATTATATATTATAATATTAATAAATATTTATCCATTTATAATAAGGGTCCTTTTTTTTCCTTGTCCTAATAAAAAAGTCTAGCTTCAAAGTCCACTTAAGCGTTTGAATTTTCAACCTTTGACCAAAACTTTGATTAAATGTAAAATATTGATAGTCTTATGTGAGTAACAAAAATTTATCGCTCGTATTTATCTAATAAATAAATAAAGCCGATTAGTTAAATAATATCAACTGAGCGACGACAATTTGGACAACTTCGATTTTGCCTAAGCCAAGAATCAATACAAAAAGGATGAAAAACATGTCCACACTTTCCTAAACGCATAATCTCATGATCATCCTCGTACTGTTCCAAACAAATTGGACAAGAACTTTTGCCACACCCTTTTTTTCGATATCTTTGAACATTAAGACTTTCGTCTTGATCGGCAATGAAATTTGTTGTCCTGTTTCAATATCTTCTTGAGGTTGAGGAGGATGGTGAGTTGTGTCGAGAGGTAATCCCGTGGGATTATTCCTTTTGTAACAATAACAAACGATTATCACGATGATGATCCAAAAGAAAGTGTATGACACTAGCTATAAAAACTGGCATTGTCCATGGATGTGAATCCATCAACTTCTTCCATGGCGGTTTCTGAGGAGATTCCATAATCCTCGCACTACGTTCGTTACCAGAAGAAATATTAGAACACGAGTTTTCTTAGTTGAAAACTATATATTTGAGTTGATATCAAGTTCCCATTAGGGATAGAATTTTATTAATCTTTTCCTTATGTTTTTTTTTTTGGAATACTAATCATGTGAAAATACTGGAGATGAAATTAATAAATCGTAAAATCAAATTAACTATCTTCAAGTATTTAACATATGCAACACGATTTTCAAGGATCCGATCGAAATTTATCATGAAGTTTTTCATTGGATTTCTATAATCTACTTCTCTGCCACACGCCACGTGAGAACACGTGCTTGCATCTCAAGCGAACCCTCACGACATTTTTTACTTTTGGAACCATAATATGGGATTTTTTTATTCAGTCTCCTAAACAAAATCTAGTTTCAAAATCAATGGTTTTATTGAGTACGTACATTGTAAGTCATTGTGTCAAAGTTATAAGACAAAGTGACCATTTGTTAAGTAACAAAAAACAAAAGATCACATATTAACTACTTGACTATTTCCAACAAAGAGAACTTAAGCATGTATTCTTACCATTTTGGCAATTTCCTTGGTAACTATAGATGGATCAGGTTTCATTCCTTTGAAGATCGTGGTGATTAACTGCATCATTCCAAAAACTTTTTTATCGTTCTCAACGACAATCAGTTCGGCCTTGAGAATTTCGTCAATAAGGTCAAAAAGCTCGTCTAATGTAGGAATGCTTCCAATAAGCTTCTTAAGTCCATTTTTCTGTAAAAAATTAAACATGATTATATTGGAAAATGATTCTCTGTAAGCAGACAAACAACTCTTAAGTTATCAAGTTAGAAGAAACTAACCCACAAATTCTTCGATAGGGATAGTATAATTTTTATGGATCCACAGAAATGTGACAATTTGGGATCGGATCAGAGAACGACCGAGTACACAAAAACATAAGTGATGGTGCAGCCTCATCTTTTGGTTCTCCTTTGTTTTTATCTTTGCATATGTCAACTTTTCCCAGCGGTTTAAGCTTACCGGGAGATTGTCCAAGGTCAACCATTTCAATTTTTGTTGATCATAACCACAGCAGACATATGGTTGGATGTGTAAGAAGATCCCAAACCACTAGGACGACCCTGATCAAGAAAATACAAATAAATGTCCAAATGCTAAGAACCAATCAATGACGATGACCCTGATCAAGCGAATCAAAATAAATGCACAAATGCTAAGAACCGATCAATGATATACAAAGAAAATGATTACTTACCACTAAAAGCCTACACTGAAGATCTGCTGTATCAGCTAAGACTTTGAACAAAATTGCGCGAGCACGGGAAGAATCAGTTTTGAACTTCCCAAGCAATTGAATACCATCAGTGTGATTTTTTCTGGATCATTTGGAGCTGGTAGTTTATATGCATCTACGACCTGACAAAAAAGGAAGACAATTTCAGTAGCAATTTCTCATAACCTAAACAACTACAAGAAGGTCAAGGTCAGTGTGAAATGCTAGCTTTTACCATGAACAGTTCAATAAATGAAGGAGGCAAAACGTAGGGTTTCTTCTTTAGAATCATATATTCATTGCATGTAGCGATAAAAGAGACAAAAGAATGATTTAATATCAAGTAAGAGAAAAAAAGGATTATACGTTTTCTATTTGATTATTTTCTTCCGGAAAACAAAAAATTAAGCATGAGTTTTTGTCAGAGATGTGAAATGTAGTCTTAGTCATTAGCAAAAGAGATAATAAATCCTACCATTCTAGCAATTTTCCTGGTAGTTGTAGCTAGACCACATTTCACTCCTCGGAAAATCTTGGTGACTGATTGAATTAGTTGTCTAATTCAACTAATTCTTCAAGAAACTTTTTTCTCCTCTATTTGTTCTCCATCATACTTGTTTAACTCCCTTACGACCTCTGTCGCAGCGATAGGGATAAAGAACAAGCCCTAAGCATTTCATCGTTTTGTAAATCCACAACAATCACATCAGCTTCAAGAGTTTTGTCTATCATGTCGTAGAATTCGTGCAATGCATGGATACTTTCAAAATGCCGCTTCAATCCATTATTCTGCACATACAAAAATCACAAACATATAAGAAAAATGGTACAAGTTTACTGTTAAATTTAAGGAAAAGCGAATTGAGAAATTATTGGATAGCTTACTGGGATCACAAAGGAGAAACCAAACATATATAAGAAAGTTAACTGTTAAAATTAAAGAAAAGCGAATTGAGAAATTATTGGATAGGTTAATAGGATTACAAAGCAAAAACCAAACATATAAGAAAATGATTCAAGTTTACTGTTAAAATTAAGGAAAAGCGAATTGACAAATTATTGGATAGCTTACTAGGATCACAAAGCAGAAACCATTTGGGATCAGAGAACGACCCGGTGCCCAAAAACATACGTGATGCTTTAGTCTTTTGAGGTTTGGATGGCACAACTTCATCTTTTGGTTCTCCCTTAATCTTATCCTTGGGTTTTTTATCTTTCTACCACTAATGGTTTAAGTTGACTAGGAGATACTGTTAAGTCAACCACCATTTCAATCTCCTTGACTACAACTACAACCGAAATATGATCAGAAGTTTCCAAACCACTTGGACCTGACAAAGAAAATCAATCACAATGTCAAGTTTTTATAACCAGTCAATGGTATACAATCTGAATGATATTAGTGTCAGCTAAGATCTTAAATAATACTTACCATAAGTTTAGTCCATTATGATATAAACGTGATTGACCCAATTCGAGTGGGAAAATGACACTCAAACATCCGTTATGTGACCTGGGTTCCCAATGACTGTTCCTGGAGTTGGAGGAAATTGCTGAACTTGAGGACCAAGATGGGAATGCGCCTGTTGAAATTCCTATTTTTCCTACAACCGTATTCTCCCACGCTCCTTGGGAACAGAACAACATTTTCAGAGTCGACATGGGTCACTGCATCTGGCTTTTTCTCTGCGAGAAGCCAATCTGGTAACAGTTACTCTGCGAGATGGTTGGACTGCAATTACTCTAGCATGGTAACAGGAAGAAGTTTCACCTTCTTAAAGGAATGGACCAATACCCAACGGTCTCCAAGACGCAAGTTTCCCTTAAATTGACAAGACTTGCTAATGATACATATCCGCGGGAAGAGCTAGAAATTTTGAAGAAACTCAAGATGCCGTTGAGAATGCATAGATACGAGTGCCAAGGCACTAGCTTATTTTACCTGAGGTATATATGGCCTCGTCTAGGGAATGAGCCGAAAGTCTTGAGATTCAAAAGCCCACCTCCTAGAGCTGATGCAAGTAATGATCCACATGTACAAGAGGAGGATGAAACTGAAGAAGAAGCTCATGAAACTATAGAAGAAGCTCTCGTGACTCTCGGAATATAATTATTCTTTAAAATTATATTTTCAGTAAGCTCATGTGTACATATATAAAATAACTTCCGAAGTTTATAACAACAAATATAATTATTCTTTTAAAATATTTTTTTTAACGCAAGACAATTTTAAAGTAAGGAAAGTAATTTTTAATTCGAAAGCCAAATTTAACATGTTTTTTTTAACTCTAATGTACTAAATT